TTTACTATTAGATGTTGGGGTGTTGACCTATTTTTATTGATTTTGAGGGGGGTTCTCTGTGCCTCCTGGATTTTGATGCCTGTTTCCTTCCCCACATTAGGGAAGTTCTCTGCTATAATTTGCTCCAATATACCTTCTGCCCCTCTCTCTCTTTCTTCTTCTTCTGGGATCCCAATTATTCTAATGTTGTTTCGTCTTATCATATCGCTTATCTCCCGAATTCTGCCCTCGTCATCCTGTATTTGTTTCTCTCTCTTTTTCTCAGCTTCTTTATTTTCCATCATTTGGTCTTCTATATCGCTGATTCTCTCTTCTGCCTCATTTATCCTAGCAGTTAGTGTCCCCATTTTTGATTGCCCCTCATTGATAGCCTTTTTGATTTCAACTTGGTTAGATTTTAGTTCTTTTATTTCTCCAGAAAGGGTTTCTCTAATAACTTCAATGCTTTTTTCAAGCCCAGTGAGTATCTTTAAAGTCATGATTCTGAACTCTAGGTCCTTCATTGTACTAATGTCCATATTGAGTAGGTCCCTCGCAGATGGTACTACCTCTTGTTCTTTTTGTTGAAGTGATTTTTTCTGTCTTGTCATTTTGTCCAGAGGAGAATAGATGAATGAGAGAACAAAATGCTAACAGGGTAACAACATCCCCAGCAAATATACTCTATACAAATCAGAAAAGACCTGAAACCAGGGGAAAAGAAAGGGAAAGAAAGAAAAAAGAAAGAGAAAGAAAGAGAAAAAGAAAAAGATAAAAACAGAATACAAAAAACAAACAGAATATGATCAAATATGATCAGGCTGGTGCATAGATCAGTGCCACACACTAGACTTTGTGTGTATTTTGGTCTGTTAGAAGAAAGTGCCTCCCAAAATTTTAAAGAAAGAAACACTTCTATATGTACAAAATAAGGATTGATACGATGAAGGAATGGAATATGACTGTAAAGATGAAAATTATAAAGAATTTTATAAAAGGAATTGATAAGAGAAGAAGTTGTTTGAAAAAAGAAAGAAGAGAATTTAAAAAAAAAAAGAAAGAAAGAAAAAACGGGAGAGAATGTGATTAGGCAGGAGACTAGAACAAAGCCATACACTAGAGATTTAGGGTATATTTTGATCTGTTAGAAGAAACTGTATCTCAAAATTTTAAAGAGAGAACAACTTATATATATTTGCCAAAAATAATGGTAACTACTCTGAAGGGTTAGAATATGACTGTAAAAATGAAAAATAAATTTTTTTAAAAAAGTGATTATTAAAATGTTGGTTGAAAAAGGGGAAAAGAAAAATTTAAAAAAAAAGACAGTTAAAAAAATTAACTTTGAAAGACTAAAGAATCATGGTTAAAAAGTCATGAATTCTATGTGCAGTATTCCTCTAGCGCTGGAGTTCTGCCGTTCTCATTGATCGGTAAACTTGGTCTTGGCTGGCTGTTCCTGCTGATCTTCTGGGGGAGGGGCCTGTTGCCGTGGTTCCCAAATGTCTTTGCCAGAGGCAGAATTGCCCCACCCTTCCCAGGTCCGGGCTAAGTAATCTGCTCAGGTTTGCTCTGGGAGCTTTTGTTCCCTGAATGCTTTCCATACATTTTTGGAGGACGAGAGTGAAAATGGCTGCCCCCCAATCTCTGCCCCGGAGGAACCGAGAACTTGGGTCCCCACTGCTCAGTGCATCCCCAAAGAAAAACAGTCAATCACTCCCGTCTCGCCGGTCTCTGGCCACGCTCTGTGCTCACCCGGCCTGTGACCGAGCGTTTCTATCTCTGGCACCTGACCCCGTGTGGAGTCTCCAAACCCAGCAAATCCCTGTGGTGCGCTCCCACGCCGCTCCTCCCAAGGAAGGAGGGGGAATCTTCCTGGATCTGCCGCATGTTGGGTCTCTGCTGGAGGAGCAGTGGCCCGACTGTGTTGCCGATCACAGTTTATGGCAACCCCGAGCTGAGAGCCCACGTCTCGGCTCCGTCTCTGCAGCCAGCTTCCCTGCTCTGATACCCAGGAGCTCTGCCGCAGTCAGTCACCCCCGGTCTTTCTGTGACCCTGGGGGTCCTGAGACCACACTGTCCCGCGAGGGTTCCACCCCCTGCTTAGCCACTGGAGTGCCGTCCCTCAGCGGAGCTGACTTCTAAACGTTCTGATTCTGTGCTCCGCGGCTCTATCACTTTCCAGAAATGGCCGATGGAGAACCCCTCCCACATCGTCTATCCTCCCAAATTTCGCCTCGGATTCACTTCGCACATCCTACCTTCCAGAACGTGGTCTCTTTTTTCTGTTCAGAGAGTTGTTGCTATTCTTTTCTTCGATCTCCTGCTGAGTTCATAGGTGTTCAGAATGGTTTGATCTCTATCCAGCTGAATTCCTGAGACCACCCAAAATCCAGGTCTCCTACTCTTCCCCCATCTTGCTCCCGTGGACACTGATCATATTAACAATGTGTACTTAACACAGTAAGAGGTTTTGTATAAAGTTGGGGATTCTTTGATTATTCAAATTACTTATTTATCAAAATCTTGAGAATAAAAGATTCTGCTTGGGTAAGTCTAACGTATGAATCTATTTCTTGATGCATTTTTAGCAAAAAAACAAACAAACCCAAATTAGCAATTATGAAAATTAGTCAATTTTGCTTGTTCAATGTACTATGTATGTATTTTACAATTAATGCAGGTTTAAGGTGAGCACTTTATTATTGTCTCTAATCGAATTAATAATACAAACAGCATTAAAAATCCCCCAAGATCAGTCTTTTGAATGGTTTTTTTTATGGTTTCTCACTTCCTTTTGGGAGGAGACCCAGGAAGAACAGCCTGTAAGGTTCACAATTTAAAATGAGAGTAATTGGAATCTACTAGAAGTTTTCAATTCCAAATCTAAGCCCTTTCAAGATTCCATAGTCCATTTAGTATAGCTTGATCTGTTAGTATTTGTTTTGCTTCATGCCAAACTCTAGCCACACTGAAATTATTTCACTTCTCAATTTGTGACATGCTCTTGCCTACAAATTACTTCTCCCCTGATGTCTAGACCACCCTTCCCCACGCATCCTTCTTCCCTTTGTGTGGCTAACTCCTACTCACCATTCAGACTCTAGTTTAGATTTTCTCAGTGAAGCCTAGTCGAGTTAGGTTAGATAAGTCTTTGCTATCTGCTTCTGAAAAATCCTGTATCTTTCCTATGAACATTTTGTTGAAATTACTTGTCTGCTATCTGTTTTATTTACTCATATAAATTCACATTTATTTATATGAGATCCACACAATGAGAGACTGCAAAGGGTGGTAAGCCAAGGGAACTTAAATCTGTGGAGGACAACGTGGAAATGAAACTTGGGCAGAACTCTGAGGAAGAAGAGGCCCTCTAACAGGATCTGAGAAGAAATAGAGGCAGGGAGAAATCACCTCGAGAGGGAAACATTTTTAGGAATGGTGAGTACCAGGGTTGAGGTTCCTGCTTGTGCATTGTTCATAAATCTTTCATTAATGTTATTATGCTGCACACTTTTGTGGGGAAGTATATTGGGAATTAGAAGAGAGAAAGAATGGGCTTTGTGCTCCACACCACAGATAATGTCGACCCATGGAAAAAATGGGAGCTGCAGGTACCTGAGTAGTTGTAAGGAGCTAAATGACAGAGCAAAAGCAGGTTGCAATGTGAACCAATCAGTGAGAAAATAGGAGAGGACACTTCCTCCCTCAACATTGTGGAGCTTTAAAAGAAAGTGGACTTAAAATACCCAAAAGCAATAGTAAATGAGGAGGGAGGTAGATAAGTGTGAATCAAAGTTCTAAGATCCATCTTTTTTGACTAGAAATGTAAAGTGAGGCATTGGCAAGTTGGATTTCTTGAAACTATGGATTGTTATTCTTCATCATGTGGTAAGTTTTCAGTCATTGTCACTTCAAATGTCTCTGACCCTTTCCTCTCTCCTCCGCCTGTAAAAATCCAACTAGACATTGGTAAGACCTTATCCCCAGATCCTCCATGTCTTTTCATTACTTTTTCCTATTTACTACCTCTTTATCTCTCTGATGTGAATTCCAGATAAAGTCCTTTTGTTTTAGTTCCTGGATCTCCGATTTTCTTTTCAGCTGTGTCTATGCTGGTATAAAATTTTTCCATTGAGTATTTTAGTCAAACTATTGTAATTTTTACTTTTAAGAGTTTTGTTTGAATTATTTACAAATATGCTTGGTCTTTAATCATATTCAAACTTCCTTATCTCATATGTGTCAGTTTTACTCAATGAGCAGAGAAGTGCTTTGTAACGAGTATTCACTTCCCTCTTTCACTGAGTGCTCAGCTGTGCTAAGCTGTACAAACACCTGGGTTGGTTAATTAAAAATCTGAAGTCAGCCTTATTAGCAAAATGGAATACAAGGGGTGGGGGTTGAGAAAATTTCCATCATTCTATGGAAGGGACTGCTGTTCGTAACCCATCTCTGGAAAAGATATCTGTTTTTCTACAGAGGTTTGTAATTTTCCACATAATATACAAAATGCTAAGGGAAGCATTTATGTTTGTTTATTAGATTTTATTTATTTATTTTGAGAGAGAGAGAGAGAGAGAACTGGGGGGATAGAAGCAGAGGGAGAGAATCCCAAGCAAACTCCACACAAAGTTTGGAAAGCTACATGGGGCTTGATTTCATGATCCTGAGATCATGACCTGAGCTGAAGTCAAGACTGAGACACTTAACTGATTGAGCCACCCAGGTGCCCCAAGAATTTGTGTTTTTTGTTTTTTTTAAGATTTTATTTATTTGACAGAGAGAGGGAACACAAGCAGAGGGAGTGGGGGGGGGAGCAGGCTTCCCGGGGAGCAGGGAGCCTGATGCGGGGCTGGATTCCAGGACCCTGGGATCATGACCTGAGCCAAAGGCAGAGGTTTAATGACAGAGCTACCCAAGCACCCCAGAATTTATGTTTTTTTAACTCAAAGTATTTTTAATGTAAAAAGATATAAAACAATAACTTTTAAAACTGTCAAAGAAAGATAAACACCTGATGACTTTGACAAGAAGTTTTATTTTAAATATTTTATGGTTACATTTTTATTTCCATACATCAAAAATAGTAGAAAAAATCTCTTTTGGGAACACATAAAAGCATTTTAAAGTCAAAAAATAAAGTTAGTGTTTAAAAACACAATAATTTAAGTGAAATTATTAGAATCCATTTGTAAATAATAAATAAGTTTTATCTAGCAAGAAATTACTTTGTTAACATTGCCCGTTGGATTTTTTTTTATTATTTTATTTTTTTAATTTTTGCCTGTTGAATTTTTGCTGTTTTGAGAAACAATTCTAACTCAGGGTTCTGATGATTCAACACAGCAGTGCACAGCAAGGCTGCCCACAATAAGACAAGACTGGGAATATCAAAAATAGGATTGCTAGTTCAATGAAAATTTCAGATAAATAATGATATACTAAAAAATTAGCCATTGTCTGAATTCAAAATTAATTGGGTGTTTGTTTTTAATTTTGCTAAATCTGGCAACCTTGTTCAAAATAATTCTCTAATATAACATCATTTAATATTAAAATAAATATAAATTCACTACCATCATTCTACTAGCCTATCAATAATAGTTCCTTTCCCATTTTTCCAAATTTATGCACACATATCCCTATATTTATTTCTTAAATAAATATATAAATAATAAATAAGCAAACAAGTTTCACCTGAACATAATTGAGACAACATGAGAAAAAGTTAAAGTGCTTCCACATGTCCTCACATCTCTGTGAGGTAGGATGGTGGCTGATACTTTTTCTCCAGTTGAGGAATAAAGAAGAAACCAAGGCAAAGTTGAACAGGGACTGGTGCATCCTGGCCAGCAGGCTGGGGTGGAACAATGTAACAACAACAAAATATATCCAGGATTTTCAGCTAAATTTGAATTTACAGTAAACAATGAATAATATTTTTAATATAAATGTGCCTAGATATTGCATAGGACAACGTATATGAGACATTGGAAAAAAATTATTCATTGTTTTACTTAATATTCAAATCTAACTGGGCATATTGTATTTTATCTGACCACCCCACACCAGACCCACACAGAACATGAAGCGCTGAAGTAGATTTCTTTGAAGTCTCATTGGCATCTTTACTGAGGAATTCTTGGAAATCATGGAGAATGTGTTTATTTGTTTCATGATTCCTGTTTCTCAGCCCTGGAAATAAATAAAATAAAAAAATTAATTAACAGTGTTCTAATAAGGAGGAAAGTATTGTTCTTGAATATATATTTACGAGGGAAATGAATAGTCTTAGATATTCATGTGTTAGAAGTATCCTAATTATCAACTATGAATAAAGAGACAGATAAGTTATCATTCAAGCCAGGACTCTTCTGAGAATGAAAGGGAACCATACCAATGATACAGGGTACAGGCGTAAGCCCAGAGTTCCCTGGTCAAACTGAGATGTATGGTCTTCCCAGTCAAGAATACAGCTAATTCACTATTGCTACTTTTTTTTTTTTAATCAAAAGGGCAGATCCCCAAAAGAGTGGACTTCCAGCAGCAACAGAAAATTTATAGGCTAACTTTTAGACTGTATGTCTCAGGATAAATGAAGAATCAAAAAAACAAATAAACAAACAAACAAACCAAAAAACACAACTTACCTCTTCAAAAATATCTGCACAACCTTCTGTACCCATTTTTCCTTGGGGTCCAGGCACACCTCTTTTCCATTGACCAGCTTTACACTGAAATGAGAGAGATATGATTAAATCAGTACCTAGCAGGTTTCAGACAACCCTTTGCCCTTCAATTTGTGGTTCCTGAAGTACGAGCATAAAATCTGAGTCCAAGTCATTTTTAGTTACGAGGCATGGAAGTTACCATATTTAAATGTGATGGAGACAAAGAATCTTTCTTTTCTGTTCTGCCCACTACTGTATTCCTGTACCTAGAACTTTGCTGGATACTTCCACCTTCCTCCGTTATAGGTTTGCTGAAATTAACATATCTAATCACTTTTGAAAGTACTTACATGATTTCTGAGTTTTCACAATGTGGGCCACTGTCAATCACTCTCAGTTCTTTGATATATTTGGGATGGAAAGGCGAGGAGTGAGTATTTATGCACTGGCATCGAAGTTCTGAACTCATTCTTGACAGAACTGCAGCTGTGAAAAAATAATAAAAACAAGGATTAATTTCATCCCAAACATGGCTCTGCTAGCTACTCTCTCCTTAATTCCCACCTGATAATATGGTGACTGTATGTTTGGTAAACATCACCTCTTTAGTAAAGTCATTCTTGAGGGAGAAGCCTGGATATTCTCCTAGCCCCTAAGTTCAATTAAAAAAACAACAGCTGTCATTAATGACAGCATTGACTGACTTCCTTCATAAAGACTTGGAGTTGTCTTTGTGAAATGTTGACATTCTTATGGTACTTTTTCTTCTAGTTGATATTGTGTAATCTTCTGTGATACCACAATGCTATTTATAGTATGTAAACTAAGATTCAACCACAGAGAAATTGCCTTCAGAAAGAATTAATAGAAATATATAAGTTTCACAAAGATGTCTCTTAGCAAAATCTGTAATGCTTAATGGAAAAGAAAAAAAATGTAAAAGCAAACATTTCTAACTGTATTTCTTTCATGGGAGGGATCCCAAGAAGATTTACAGTTTGTCAGGGTGTCTTTAAATCCAAGAGGAAATGATAGCGTCTGAAGCTTGTCAATAAAACTGCACGTGGAGTAAAGTTACCTGAGTTATCTCACTCGATATTAGTAAATAATATGAGTAATTGTGGCCCCTCATAAGATATACCCTAGGGGCGCCTGGATGGCTCAGTTGGTTAAGCATCCGACTCTTGATTTTGGCTCCGGTCATGATCTCAAGGGTCGTGAGATGGAGCCCTGCATCTGGCTCCTCACTCAGCGTGGAGTCTGCTTGAGATTCTCTCTCTCTCCCTCTCCCTCTGCCTCTCCTCCCACACACTCTCTCTCACTCTCTAAAAATAAATAAATAAATACATCTTTTAAAATAAGATATACTCTAAATTACAGATTTATATTAATGCATTTATATGTACATATCCTATAGAGTATGAAAAATAGGAACAGGGTGTCTCTATTAATCAAACTTTATACTTTTCTAAGTATTGTAGAGATAAAATCTAAACAATTAAGGCTTCAATTTAACATTAAGTGACTGCAAATATTATTTCCTTTACCTGAATAAAAAGGATGTTTGCTATTAAAGCATTAAGGGCAATCTTGCTATCTGAGGATCACATTTAGGCACAGTAAAACTCCATGGACCAGAAAAGTCTGCTTACCTTCGCACAGAGCTGCAGAAAGCAGGAAAACTGCCAAGAGAGCAATAGCCAGCTTGGAAGTCATGTTGACGAAAGGTGCCTTCGTTCTGGTTTCTCCCTGGCTCTTGTCCCAGACGCTGGTGAGCTCTGCTGTCCCAAGGGACTTCTGTTGGATGGAGAGCTTCTGTGGCTTTTTATATTATTCAGAGCAGCAGAGAATATGCACCCTCATTCTTGCATTATGTCAGAGGAAATTCCACAATATGCAACCATCCGCCTGCCCTTTGAGAGCAGACCTGAGTCATCAGACTCCTCTAATTTGTCTCATCAAATTTTTGGCAGGATCGAAGTTCTACTGGATCTTTAACAGAATTTAATTTATTTTACTTAAAAATATATTTGTTTTAAAACATGTTTAAAAATCATTGTTAGATATTCAAGCTTCTTTTGGTACATTATTATCAGTTGTACTTTTTTATGTATAAATATATTGTTGTACTATCTGGCAGTTGTTAGAGTAAGGTCATTTATGACTACCCTTTTAGGGCATGGTCATTTCTTGAGGTAAATTATGTGTGCTGCAGTGATAGAGAAGGTAATCTCGTCAACCACTTTTATTGAAGACATAATTTTGAGAAGTCCTTTTCTGAGTATTTTGGAAAGTTTCCAGGAACTGTTACCGTTCCCAAGGAGCATATTACAACTCTTCACAAGATTTGGCTTTCTAATGTATGTTTGAAAGAATGAAAAGGCACATCTTTCAGTTCCAAAAATATTTATCAAGTAACTTCTGAGTAATGTAGGGATCTAGAGATAGATAAGACTAAATACTTGTTTTCAAAGAGTTTGGTCTATCAGAAGAAGAAAGCGATATAAGGACTTTACTGTAAGTGGTACTTACATGTTAATTCCAACAAGGGCATAAAGACAGAATATCTCATAAGCAGTGTGAACAGGATGTTGAAGGATGAGAAGATAGAGAAAAAGAGCACATTCTACATAAAGACATGGTTCAAGGACAGGTGAATGAAGATAGGTCTATGCTCTAGGAAGCGGTTCACTGGGGTTACTAGGTTGGGGTGGGATGAAGTGGTATCTAATGGACAAGTAAGCAGTGTATGCTTAGTGGATAAAAGTTCAAACTCTGCTTCAGCCACCTAATTTTTGTATGACTTTTAAAACTTTCTGACTTCTGGTCTCTGTATCTACAAAATGGGTTTAATAACACCCCCACTTCATAAAGTTAATGTATATAAACTTCCTGGCTTAACTTTTAAACGGGTAAATTCTCACTTATTCCAAATGCTATGACTTATATTTCTCATTTTTGTCAGATTACTGATTTCCATACTGCAAGGATATTCAACCAACAGTTGTTTGCTAAAAATCTCATTTGCCTTAGAGGCATTCTTGATAAAAGATCAGTTTCTGAAATACCAGTTGAGCCAGCTTACAGCATGCAATGTAACAATATAATAAAATAGAAACATCATCAGTTCCAGTTATCATTTGCTAAAATTAAAGCTCCAAATAAAAACCTGACTGCATTAGCATTCAAGTTGCCCTCTCAAATGAAAATCTGGAATATGGAGAGTCCTGAAATCTATAGAATTCCAGAACTCTTGAGGAAGTAACTCATTTAAACACTGATACAAGATTTATTTTTTTAAGATTTTATTATTTATTTACTTATTTGACAGAGAGAGAGAGCACAAGCAGGGGGAGCCAGAGAGGGAGGAGCAGGCTCCCCACTGAGCAAGGAGCCCGATGTGGGGCTCGATCCCAGGACCCTGGGATCATGACCTGAGCCAAAGGCAGATGCTTAACCAACTGAGCCACCCAGGTGCCCTGATATAAGATTTAAATTAAATTCTTTGACAAAAAGTGATTGAAAATTAGAGCAAGAGGAATAATGTTTCAGAATTTGAGCATTTTCATTTTGGGGAGAAAACTTCCACTGCTGAAAGATTTGTGTGGTGACCTCAGCTTAATTTCTTCAATATCACTTCAATTTACTTGATGTCAGTGACAGTGTGTATGCGTGCGTGCATGCGTGCGTGCGTGTGTGTGAGCATTAATTAATCCCCACAGCTATACCATAAATAATAATGCCCTCGTTTTACAAATGAGAAAACTTAACAATGTCTCTAAGTTCATATATCTAAGTAGCAGTGTTGATGTTTCAAAAACTTACTTGAGTTAGCCCTGATCTAAAAGCACTTTCACAAAGGGGGGTTGAAAGAACTTTTCTTGAGGACCCTAAGTTGCAAAGCCATCCTTTTATGACTCAGTGAAGTTTCTTACTCTCTCCTTTCATCCTCAGAGATTAGTCTGGGTTTTGTTTTGTTTTGTTTCAGATAAAAGACACTAAGAGATGGACTAAAACTCTGTCCATATCTAGGCAAGTACACAATTTATAAATAATTCGGCTCATTCAACATCTTTCTTATTTCCCAGGAAGCTGGTTAAAGCAGTGAGCTTGTCCGCACAAGTGTGTGGGGATGGAAATATCATGTTTGAGTGTTTTCCCAAGAGGTTATTCAGTTTCTTAGTACAGGAATACATCATTTTATTGTGCTTTGCTTTATTGCTCTTCACAGATACTGTGTTTTTTATAAATAGGTTTGTGGCAACCCTTGGATGAGCAAGTCTGTAGCCGCCTTTTGTCTAACAGCATTTGCTCACTTTGCATCTCTCTGTCACATTTTGGTAATTCTCACAATATTTCAAATGTTTTCATTATTATATTTACTGTGATGATCTGCGATCAGTCATCTTTGGTGTCACCCTTGTAATTGTTTCGGAATGCCACAAAACACACTCATAACAGATGACAAACTTAATCAATAAATATATGTATTCTGACTGCTACACCTACCAGCTGTTCCCCACCTTTCTTTTCTCAGGCCTTTCTATTCTCTGAGACACAACAATATTGAAATTAGGCCAATTAATAATACTATAATGGCCTCTACTTATTCAACTGAAAGGAAGGTTGCATGTCTCTCACTTTAAATCAAAAGCTAGAAATGATTAGTGAGGAAGACATGTCAAAAGCCAAGATAGGCCTCAAGCTAGGCCTCTTATGCTAAACAGTTAGCCAAGTTGTGAATGCAAAGTAACGTTCTTGCAGATACTTCAAAGTGCTACTCTTGTGAACACATGAATGATAAGAAGCAAAACAGCCTTCTTGCTGATATGGAGAGAGTTTGAGGGGTCTGGATAGAAGATCAAATCAGTTACAACAGTCACTTGAGCCAAAGGGGGATCCAGAGCAAGGCCCTAATGCTCTTCAGTTCTGTGAAGGCTGAGAGAAGTGGGGGAGCTGCAGAAGAGAAGTTGGAACCCAGCAGTGGTTGGTTCATGAAGCTGGAGGGAAGAAGTCATCTGTACAATATCAGAGTGCAAGGTGAGGCAGCACGTGCTGAGGGGGAGGTTTCAGCGAGTTGATCCAGAAGTGAGTGATCCAGAAGATCGAGGTAAGATCATTCATGAAGGTTGCTACACTAAATAACAGATTTTCCGTATAAACAAAATAGTCTTCTAATGGAAGAAGATGCCGTCTAGGGCTTTCATAGCTAGAGAGGAAAAGTCAGTGCCTGGCTTCAAAGCTTCAAAAGACAGGCTGACTCTTTTGTTAGGGGCTAAAGCAGCTGGTGACCTTAAATTGAAGACAATGCTTATTTACCATCTCAAAAAGCCTAAGGTTGTTAAGAATTATGCGAAATCTACTCTGCTTGTGGTCTCTGAATGGAACAATGAAGCCTGGATGATAGCACATCTGTTTATAACATGGTTTACTGAATGTTTCAAGCCCACTATCTAATGCTTAGAAAAAAAAAAAAAAGGATTCCTTTCAAATTATTATTGCTCATTGACAATGAACCTGGTCCCCCAAAAGCTTTGATGGAGATACACAAGACTAATGTTGTTTGCATGCCTGCTTAACATAACACAGCATCCATTCTGCAGCCAAGGATTAATTTCAACTTTCAAGGCATATTATTCAAGAAATACATTTCATAAGGCTAAAGCTGCCATCGATGGTGATTCCTCTGGTGGATCTGGGTAAAGTAAAATGAAAACCTGCTGGAAAGTATTCATCATTTTAGATGCCGTTAAGAACATTCATGATTAATGGGAAGAGGTCAAAATATCAATATTCACAGGAGTTCGGAAGAAGTTGGATCCAACCTTCATGGGTGATTCTGAGGAGTTAGGACTTCAATGGAAGCAGTAACTGCGGATGTGGTGGAAATAGCAAGAGAATGAATATTAGAAGAGAAGTCTGAAGATGTGATTGAATCGCTGCAATTTCATTGATAAAACTTGAATGGATGAGGAGTTGGTTCTTACAGATGAGCAAAGAAAGTGGTTTCTTGAGATGGAATCCACTCTTGGTGAAGATGCTGTGGCAATTGTTGAAATAACAACAAATGATTTAGAATGTTACATCAACTTAGTTGATAGCAGCATCAGGGTCTGAGAAGAATGACTCCAGTTCTGAAACAAGTTCTAGGTAAAATGCTATCAAACAGCATTGCGTGCTACAGAGAAATTGCTCATAAAAGGGTCAATCAATGTGGCAAACTTCATTGCTGTCTTATTTAAAGAGACTGCTACAAACATCCCAATCTTCAGCACCCACCACCCTGACCAGTCAGCAGATCAACATCGAGGCAAGACACTCCATCAGCAAAAAGATTTAACTCACTGAAAGTTCAGATAATAGCATTTTTAAGCAATAAAGTATTTTTTAATTAAGGTATGTACATTGTTCTTTAGACACAATGCTATTGCACACTTAATAGACTACAGTATAGTGCAAACATAACTTTTATAGGCACCGGAAAACCAAAAAATTTGACTTGCATTATTGTGGTAATCTGGAACCAAACTCACAATATCATTGAGGTATGCCTGTAATCATGTTTCTTTCTTTTTCTTCCTCCAACCAACCTAAGACTTGAGAAGTAAATAGTATGTGAGTTGCATTACCTTTTGTAGCAAAGTAAATATTTATATATAATACAGTTCCTATTGTTTTTAACTCTACTATTTCAGGAACGTGATTGTTCATTTAATCACTCAGTATATATCATTTGCTAATGCTAGGTATCGTAGTGGGAGATGTGAATACTATGTAAATAAGATATAGTCTCTGACTTCAAGGAGTTTCCAGTCTA